CAGCTGAATGTGCTTCACTGTTCACCCAAAGGAGTGCGCCATGTATGAATGATGCACTTGAAAAAATTTGATCGAGCTGGGAGCTCTAAGGACTCGGATGATACCTGGTGTCCGGCTCTGGTTGGGATTCGCTTGCGACTTTTTGGTTACTCCCCTACGAGCCACAGAGTTCTGACAGTGTCTTAGCTCCAGGCTTCATAGAAGTTTCATGTGCAAGCAATTAAACTAGGTCACTTCTTGAGCTCTGAGACCCGCCTAATAGGTATCCACATCTCTCTGCCTTAATTCGTAATTCAGCCCCTTGAGGGGACTTGGAAAACCGCAAAGTTTGCTTGTGCGTGTATGAGCAGCAGTGAGACTAAGTAACTAAAATTGCTTTTGAACACGAGTCATTACAGAACGGTGCCATAGTTGTTCTTTTATGGGGTGGCTGTGTGTGTGTGGTTCTATCGAACACCCTCTACCCGGTCAGCTGACCTGACTCGTTTTGCTGCGTTTGTTTACTGCCCGAGAACTAGCCGGCTTGTTGGATCAAACCTACTTGGCCGTCGATGTATGTTGGTTTCCCAAGTTCGTTTACTTGGCACGGTTTTGAGGTGCCTGTCTTTTTATCAGTTCATTCACTCTGATGGGCGTTTACCTAAAACAAGATTCTTACTCTCACAAAAGAAACTACTCACAAGGTTGCTGAAAACTCTTTGACAGGCCACGACTGGTTTCGCCCTTCTTGGGGCTCAGTCGCCGAGTTTCCGTCAACCTTATGATCTACTTGAACCCAAATTGCACTGTTTTCGATAAACACACTCATTTGCAAATCAATTCGGTTTTCTCAACTGAATCTCTCGTTTATGATGTCCTCCAGCTGAATGTGCTTCACTGTTCACCCAAAGGAGTGCGCCATGTATGAATGATGCACTTGAAAAAATTTGATCGAGCTGGGAGCTCTAAGGACTCGGATGATACCTGGTGTCCGGCTCTGGTTGGGATTCGCTTGCGACTTTTTGGTTACTCCCCTACGAGCCACAGAGTTCTGGCAGTGTCTTAGCTCCAGGCTTCATAGAAGTTTCATGTGCAAGCAATTAAACTAGGTCACTTCTTGAGCTCTGAGACCCGCCTAATAGGTATCCACATCTCTCTGCCTTAATTCGTAATTCAGCCCCTTGAGGGGACTTGGAAAACCGCAAAGTTTGCTTGTGCGTGTATGAGCAGCAGTGAGACTAAGTAACTAAAATTGCTTTTGAACACGAGTCATTACAGAACGGTGCCATAGTTGTTCTTTTATGGGGTGGCTGTGTGTGTGTGGTTCTATCGAACACCCTCTACCCGGTCAGCTGACCTGACTCGTTTTGCTGCGTTTGTTTACTGCCCGAGAACTAGCCGGCTTGTTGGATTTATCAAACCTACTTTGCAAAAGCACGGTAGGTGTGTCCAAATTGTGACCACTGCGAGTTGTGATTTGACTTTCGATTCATCTAAGAGAAAGGATCATTTTTTTCGCTCCATCAGCTGCCTACTACGAACTTGCATTGTTCGGAAGCATTCCTTATATGTCCACTCGTGATTACTCGTGCCAGTAACTTTGAGACCTTCATTCCAGAGATATCTGCCTTCTTGAGGCATACATTTATCAAAGGTGACCACATGTGGTGTCTCTACTCGCTGTATCTCACATACGACCCCATTTTAACTGAAGTATTTTTAATAATTTTGAGCAATCTGTCATCCTCGGTGC